GGGGGGCTCTCTCAGGTGGGTTGAGGGATTTCCTTGCCCTCCCACCCACCAAGATGTGATGGATGGTACTCAGGGAAGCTGTTAATGTCACTTTCAAAAAATGACTACCAAGAGATGGCCAAACTGGGAAACCATCTGGGACAAATATCCCTTTAGGGTGCTACCAGTGTATTAGTGTTTCAGAACAGGGAAAAAAAAAAAAAAAAAAAAAAGGAAGAAAATGCTTGGTTGGCAAAGGTGCCCACCAAAAGCACTGTTGGCTCTTTCATAGCCCTCTTTGTTTTTCTCCCAATGTTTTTTGTTTTTCCCCAGTGCTCTGTTTTTCTTTTTCAACTTTATCTGGCCCTGCAAGTCTCCCAGTTCCCCTGGGGAAATCTCTGCCATGTTTGGGTCACCGCCTGGGCAGATATTTTTTTCTCTGCTTCCCTTGGTGTTGTCCACCCTAGAGGGTACCACAGGGGATGCTGCCCGGGATTTGGAGACATTGCCCAGGGAATTTGGAACAAAGGGAAGAAGGTGAGACACAGCTCCTTCATAAACTGTTTTGCTTCCACCAGGAGAGGGAGAGTGGGAGCTGTTGGTCTTGGTTTGCTTTTCCTGGAGGAGAGGAATAGAGTTTGCTCTCTGGAGGTTTCTCCTTGGAGCTTGTGTGTGAAAGGCAGCACCTTCTGGATTCAAAAGCAGGAAACATTTTGCATTTTTTCAGTTGTTTGCTTGTGACATTTTTCTTTGTTTCTCTTATGAGGCTGTTTTTACATAAACAGCAGAGCCCCATGTACAGCACCTGTACCCTGCCTCTCCCTGTTCTATGAGCAGCCTGGGCATAATTAGGACATGCAAGACCCACTATGTACCCATGCCACAGGCATCACCTTTCAGCCCATGCTGTGTCGAATAAAACAGGTCAATGCATGCAGAAGTGAGAAATGTCCGTCTGACCCAGAGTGTCCATCCATCCAGTCTGTCCAGAGACTGCAACAGGAGGGACTGTCTTGGGGGCCCAGTTGCTTTTATAGTCCCTTCCTCCAGCACACCTGCTTTCTCATCCTGTTTTTAGGGGCTACATCTCTCTCAGACATTTGCATCCTTGAATTTGCCTAATCTCCTCTTGAACCTGCAGATACAGCATCCACAACATCCTATGACAGTGAGCTCACAGCTTTATGTACCCCCAGATTCTGGTGGGTGTTTGGCTGCCACCCTGAGTCAGTGGCTTTGAGACCCACCAGTGACAGCTCAGGGCATCTCAGTGAGTCTTTAGGGTGTGATGGGCTGGCTGTGCCTGGGCACATAGCCGGGTACTGCAGCCCCCTGCACCTGCACCACTGGGCTGTGCTGCTCCTTTGGGTCCCCAGGACCAGTGCTGCCTGGTTCTGGTCACTTATTAACAACCACTTTTTCTGTTTGACCTTATCCCTCCTGTTACCTAGTTACTTCACTTACTTTCCTTTACTCCTGTTAGCTCTTTATGCTATGTTACCTTTGTACTTCTGATAGCTCTGGTTCCTCCAGCTGGTCCGCTGCACGCTGGCACATGTGGGAAGCTCCCCAACAGCTTCAGCTGTAAAAGCAGCCACAGAGCTATCACTGACCTTCTCTGCTACCTTATCATCCCCACCTGCCCCTTTTATACCCTTGTCATCAGCGTTCCCACTAATTTCCTAGCTGCCTTTGTGGCTTTGTTATATTTAAAGAGCCTTGTATCAGCAGCAAGGCAATTTATGGATTCTTATTTTTAGCCCTGTTTATTTCCTTTTTAGTTTCCACCTGACATGTTTTATAGATTTCCCTCTTCTTAGAGCACTTTGGGCTTTTAGGGTTGTGTTTGGGGATTTTTTTTTTTTTGACTAGTTGCTGTAAAAATCAGTATCTTCAGCTCACACCCCAAAATGTGGAAGAGGTCAATTTAATCCTTCTGGGAACCCTTGGTAAGCAAAGCTGCTTCATCCACAGACACCAGACACAAGGCTTTGAAGTGGAGAGTATTACTGTGCTAAAAATGAAAGGGTGAAGGGTGGAAAATGGGGATAATATAGCAGTTGATGACTTTGCATTTGCCAAACTTGAAAAATGGCATTCCTCCTCTCACAGGAGCAGCAGATGAGGCAGTGCTAGGCTTGCCTCACTTGCCTTGCTCTGATTTGTGGCCCTGGGCTATTGAACCCAAGATTTCAAGTAGGATCCCAGGTCTGTGGATTGTACCAAGGTCCAGTTAACCTCCTGCATCCCAGGTGAAGCCAAGGTGGTCTCCCCAAAACCAGGTAGGGACAGTCATGTTCACCATGGCACCTGCCTGAATCCCTTTAGCCTTCACCTGAAGTTTCCCTAAACGCTCTCCATACTGGGGGTTTCTGTTGGGGAAGCCATTCCTACCGAAGAGGTGAACACTTCTTGCTGGAGGAGAGGTTCATTTTCCCTTGCCTCTGTCCCTCTGGTTGTTAGGAGTGCTATTGTTCACCCTGAAAAGAACCAGCCATCAAACTCACAGTACAGAAGAAGTGAAAAGTCGGGCCTCTTAGTCTGTAATAGCGTCTTACCTCCATTATTCACTCTTACTTGTTTATGCCTCCAGCCTCCCACATCACATGCAGGATCTATGTGAAAACAGTCTCATAAAGGAAACAAGGGGTGGTTTTCACCAAGAGATAAACGGAAAAAATGAAAAGTGCTTCCTGCTTTCAGGTCTGAAAGGTGCTGGCTTTCACATGCCAGTTTGGATGCTGGGCTTTGCTGGTGAGGGTGTGGAAGCAGAGTTTTAGGTCTCAGTTTTCAGGCTGGTTTCAGATATAAGCAGTGCTAACAACAGCAGGCCTGATCACCCCACCCATTCTTATCCAGCCATCCCATTACATTCCTGTAGTGCAGCACCTCTAATGCAGCTGCCCACACTCAGGTTCTTACCCCACTACCATCCCCAGCACCGTATCCTTCCCCTCCCACCCCACATTGCTTGAGTATGCTTGGGTGTATCCAGATAAATGGAGAATGGCATGTGGCTGAAGCTACCTAAATATCCCCATGCAAGTACATGTTATAACCAAGCAAACCTCTATCCCAACTCCTTTAGCCCTGTTTGGCACAACCTGTGCAGATGTGCCAAGCAATTACACTCTCCAGAGTAATTTTTGGTCTAGGACAAAAGTAGGTGGCAGACTTGAGTGGCAGCACCTCTCCTCCTCTGCAGGTCATGTGCCAGCAGGACACCCTGCATCTCAGGGAAGAAGATGGATGGGAGAATCCAGGATGTGAAACAAGTGTGGCAGATCCCTGGAGCCTCTCAGCCTGCAGGCATGTCCTCACTCACACAGATGGATGAAGGTTACACCCAGATCCCTTTTCCATACCTGGTTGGATTTTGAAGGATGGACAGCTGAAAGAAACACTGAGCCAAGCAGCAGCAGTCATAAAACACCACAAAGAGCTCTTTTCCATTATCACATTTCCCAGCAGAATCACACACTGTTAATAGCCAAAGAGAAGTGAAATATCCGAGAGTTTGCCCTTTCAGTACAGAACTCCAGTCCAGATAAAATAACTGTATCAGCCTTTGAAATGCTAAAGAGTAGTAGGCTCTCTATGGTATCTGATAGCCTCTCCCCAGCATGGGCTAAATGAGACCTGCTTGCAGTAGCAGAAATTAGCTTTGAATTAGAGCAATGAAAATTCCAGTGCAGCTAAATGACACACACATCTGACTATTTTTGCTGCTTTTATTATCAGTGGCAGCAGATATCTGGATATCACACCCTCAATAAAGTTTTACTGCATTAAAGTTTCGTTTATCATTGAGCTTTCGGCTGCGTTTCCAATCTCTATTGCTTTGCGAAAGAATAGGAGATAACACTTAAAGGCCTTTTCATGTGCCTCTGTAGCAGGCTACTGTTACTTGTATTTTAAGGATCCTCTGCCCTGAGTGGATGGAACCAGACCATTTACTTCAGTGAAAAACCACGATGACCCATCCGGTGGGCTGTTATCTCTTGATATAGAGAAATCTTTTTATTTGACTCCACATAACCCTAAGTTTCAGTCTGCCATACAAAGAAGGGGAGGAGGGGGTATCCCGGCAAAAGCAGCCAGCTGAAGGAAGTAGAAGTCTACACTCAGCTTCATGACTTTTTGCCACTTCCTGTCTATATCCTGTCCGTTTTCCAGTGTCTCACACTGTGCAAACTCCCCTAAGTGGAGGTTGCATGGGGTTAACGGAATGCTGCTGGAAGAAGGAGAGAACTTAGCAGAAGTATTAGAAGCTGGGAGAATCTCCTTCACCTGGATTATGGTGGAGACACACAGGGCCCAAAGAAAAAGAAGGGAGCATTAGCCACATGTTAGAGTGTTGGGGAGGGAACCGGTCCCCCCTGCAGGGCTTTATTAGCTGGAGAAAGGGTTAGGGTTAGAGCACTGAAAACATGCATCTGCATGGACATCCTGGTAACCTCTACAGCCACATACAGCGTTTGCAAACACTGACTCCAAACTTGTCACCTAAGCTGAAAGATGCTTCTTTTTTCAGCTGTGTGCCATTTGCAGCTGCCATCAAAGAAAGCAGCTTGTCCAGCATTTTCAAAGGACATCCAGCTGCATTAATTACCCAGTTCCCACTGAAAACAACCACCGAAAAGTGGTGCCAGTCTTATAACAATAAACATTTTAGTTTCATTAAGATTTAATAACATTTCTGATCAGAACCTCTCAGTAAAAGCTGGATGCTGATGTAACCAGTCTGTGCACACTTGTGTCTAAATTCAGCACAAATTTTAACATAAAATACCTTCCAGACTTATAAAAAACCACTTACACCACTGGGAGCAACATAAGGAAGTCTTGGTACTGAGAAAAAATAATGTTTAATAGGAAAAGGTAATCTGCATATATAAGATCCAAAACAGAAAATATAACAGAATTAAATGATGTTTTAAATGAATGTAATCTATAAATATATGTACATATGTGTGCATATACATATTTTATATATATATAAAGGAAATGTTAATGCTAGACAATAGATAATGCACACTCGGTAAAATATGGTAAAATGTGGATTCTTTTACAGGTAGATTTACTGACCATATGTAAGAAATCAGGCGGGAAAAAACCCCAACACCAACCGTAAGATCATTCAAATATAAAGAGAGTAAGAGAAAAAAACACTAACACTTTCCACAGGAACTGAGAATGTAAAATCAATGCAGTTGGGCAACAAGGAGAACAAAGTTGTTTGTTTGAAGATATTGTTTCTTGCCATTTTATTGGAAAGGAAGGCTGTGGAAAAGGTCAGACAAGTGCCATTGTCTTATGCAACACATGTCAGCAGAGATCTGAAGAGAATGCTTTCAGGTAGGAAATACTGGGGAGTTGAGGAGGATAAAAAAGGCTGTATCTGATATAGTAAAGTGAAACACAGTGGATTCTCGTGAAAAAACAGTTTTGACCTGCCCAAAGCCTTAGCTGAAACTGAATGAGCACAAATAAAGGCAAAGCTCTGGGTGCTGACATTTTTCAGCCTGGACCATCTTCCAGAAGAACTGAAAAACAGCAGGATTAAAATCCTGATATCTTGTATACACTCACTCTCTTGCCAATGTACTGGTCTTCTCAAAGAAGTCTAATGTTTATTGAAGCTCATTAGTTCTTTTAAGAGATCTTCTTCTTCTCCCTATCCCCTACTACATTTTCGCCTTATTTCAGAGTTGTCCATGATCTCTTTCAAGCGGGGGTCTTCTTTTAGAAAATCTTGAGAGAATCTGGGATCAAGGACTTTGTTGTCTCCTCTGCTGAAGCAACTGCATTGGTAAGAGGCTGCAAAACTCTTTGGTCTGATCCAGTGTTGTGGTGGTCATCCGTCCTTCTACGGCTCTTGTCATTTAGTATCTGCTCTGCGTCCTAAAGCCCCCACGCTCCTGTGATGGTTCGTACTACAGAGAATTTAGACAAGAGGAGAAGCTAAATAAGGAGTAGCTCTAGGTCAGAAAGTTCCTTTCTCAGGAGAGTTCAGCATGTAGCACACTGCACGTGGGAGCCCCTTCACTGAGATACACCAACCCTCAAGGAAAACCAAACAGGCAGGTTTGAATCAGTGAAAAGTAGACACCTTTGGAAAGTTAGAAATGCCCAAACCCATGCAAATCTGACCAATCAACTAACTACTTAGATGTTTTTCTTCTCTTAATTGGCAGCTTTTTAAAGCTGTTGTTTTTTTTAAACATCAGATGTCCAGGCTGCTCCTGTCATGGTTTAGACCTCAATTCTGCAAAACATGTAAATGTATTACAATTAAACAGATTTTCTTCACCAAACAGAGTCAGTTTCTTGCACCACAGAGGTGGAGCTAAAATGTCATTTAAACAAGATTTGAACCTACAATGTGCTTCTTATTTACTTGACTCATGTTGAACCCAGCAATCAATCATATCATAGCATACACTCTAGGGAACCAAGATTATATGACCCTGGGAGAAATTTAAGGGGAACTTGGCAAGATAAAAGCAGACATGGTGAGATGTATCTTTGTGTGTGGAGCTTCCTCTACAGTTCCCTTGCAGAATTCAGGGATAAAATAGGCTTTTTTTTTTTTTTAGAACACATCTTCCAACTAATGAAACACCTCTGCTGACGAGGCTGCTCTGGGCTATAGCAATGCAAAAGTTTGTTCATGGCACTTCACACTGTGCCCCTTTGCAGTGCTGCAGCAGCTGCAGAGGCTTTTGCTGTGAACGAGGCAGCAGCAGAGCAGGTGGGAGGACACTGACTCTCTGGGCAGCTGTCCCAGCTTAAGCTGTCTGTAAATCTTGCATGAGGCTGCAGCTGGGAAGGGCCACTGCAGCACCTATTGACTCCACAACTGGCTTAGAAGGAGCGCAGGTGGTAACAGCCTGTGATGCTTGCAGGCACACCTGTGGTGAGCAATGTTTGGTCAGTGTAGTCAAATGTCCTGTGACACAGCAGATCCTGGGCAGCCAAGCTGTTGCTTTGACCCTTGCTTTTCACGTATCCCTCCTGTGACTCGAGGATGACTACTAGGACTTTAGAGAGATCTTTATAAGTTGAGTGCTGATCTCTGTATTAAGGCAAAGTTTTCCAGCTGCAGCTACAGGTCTTTGGATGCCTTTATACCACTTTGGCCTTCTAGATCAAGGAAGGATGGACAAAGTGAAGTTTAGGTTCCAACAGTGTCTGTAGCCCACAACACTATGCTCCTCTCTAGGACTTACTCTCTAGACCCTTTACCATGGAATTCTCACAGGTCTATGTGAAACACTTACCAAATCATCAAAACCCGTCTCCGAAAAATGACCTCTATCTGTGGAAGGCATCTCATATGGGTTGTTTGACTGATATCCTGGGTTTGCATGACCAGAAGTGGTCTGGACTCTGGGGAACATCAAGGTCGGTCTATCATCAGAGATATCTGTGTTGGAATATCCTGACTTTATCAGCCTCTTCTTCTCTGAATTTTGTTTGTCCTTGGTTCTTCAGAGGAAATGAAAGAACAAAGGAGGTTTTAAAAGATCATTTAGTGTTCCTTACTTATTAAGTGAGTCAAACTTATTGAGTTGTCCACTCTCACCTTATTTTGAATTCTCAGTCCTGTTCTGAAACGTGTAACTGATTTTTATAGAATACCTACTGCATAACCCTTGTTATCGTTATAATTGTAATTATTGTACTAGAGTACGAAGTTTGGCATCCTTTCTCACAGGTGAGGCAAAGCTGCTAGGGGAGACAGAGGGGGACTTTGGCCTCTTTCAGCTAGTTCCTAGAGTAAAGGAGTTTCTTTCAACTACCACTACCTCTAACTGACTATGCAGAGGAAGAAATAAGGCATTCATTATAGTTAAGAAAAGGTGCCCTCATGCCTGCAGCCAAAGCTGGACACACACACTTGGCCAGCTTGTGCACCTGCTGGTGAGCATTGTCTGCTGTGGGTGCAAATGTCTTGTAGGCATCTTTAACTGGGCAGCGCTGGGAGCAAAGGCAGAGCAGCTGCTTGAGTATTTATTGAGTGGACAGAAGTGAGGAGGTGCAACTGCAATCAGACATTTGCCAGTACACCAGGAATAGCAAGCTTTAAGGAGATGCTTGGCTGAAAATGACACCTGTATGGAGCTGAAAAGGCTGTGCCAGGCCTTGAGCTGAAGTGCTAGCAGGGAAAGCTGCAGAGGGTCTGAATTTGGGCCACACAGTCTTCTGATATCAGCATCCTTCTTCAGTCTTATCCAGATGCCATGTCAATACTAGCTAGGGCAGGATTATGACTCATGGATCAGGTGTGTATTTTGAAGACTTGACTGAAGCTTTCATAGCTGAATTCACAGCAAGAGAATAAATGCTTCTTGGAAGCGCATATTGGTAAGAGCATTTTCTGACGACTGTATGGCTTAAATGAACATGTCTGACCAGCTAGGCCTGCAACCACATCCACAGCCCTGCTCCTCTCTAAATTTCTGCTTATTTCTCTATGAACATGCAGCAATGCAGCTTCAATTATAAGAAATACTCTTACCTTGCTGAAATTATAGTGACTGCTATCACTAAAGTCAGGATAACGGCTCCTAAAACTGTACCCACTATTATAAGGATGAGTTCGGTGTCTGGGGAAAACAAAAACAGCAAACAAAACCCATCAATTTATCAATTGAAAACTCATCATGAATATTGAAAAACAAGTTCTGTACCTGGCCGGAAGCAAGGGAGGAAGGAAGGAAGGAAGGAAGGAAGGAAGGAAGGAAAATATGAAAAATGTCATTTATTCCCAGGCTCCTTGTGCTTACAACTGTCTGTGGGCACAGAAATATGTAAATTAAGGATCTGCATCACAGACCATCTCTTCTGAATGCTATTTTGATCACAGCTCAAGTTCCTGATATCATGCACTGAGTGGTTCTACACGTAATTATAGCTGAGGGACAGGAACAACTAAGAGGGTGCAGGAGTTCTTAAGCTAATATTGCTGCTAAAATGTGTAATTAGGTATCAAACAAGCCCTTTCCATGCCCTAGGCACATAAGGTGTAAGATAAATTTCATTCCTTTTTTTTTCCCCTAACATTTCCCTGCTATAAATGCAGAACGGAGGCATCCCTAAACGCTGCTACTTGTAATTTTTTTTAATTTCAGACAGATTAAACATTGCCAGGTATTATTTTCCACATTATAATTAAAAATCAGAAATTCTTGTACTTACTGTCAGTGCAATTCTCCCCAGAATAGCCCACTCGACAACTACAGGAGAGAAAAAAGAAAAAGGAAAGAAAAAAAAAGATAATGTCATTAAGCAGATGATCTTTAAAGTCCTTTCTAACCCAAACAATTCTATAATTCTATGATCACAAAACAATAGTATGTTTCCCCCTTTTATCAGTAATTTCTTTGCAAGGTGTGTTTATTACAGTTTTCCTCTTAATATTGAAGTCTTTACTTTCATTAGAGTAAAACAATCTGAGATTTTCAGAATGATTGGTGATCTGGGCACTCAAAGTTTCAGGTTCTTAGTCTGAAAAATGTTTAAAAGACCTAATTTTTCTAAAGAACTGCCTAATTTTTCTAAAGAAGTGGCTCTGCACCTCTGAGACACTTGAAATTGCCACACACCATCTTTATGAAATGCCTCAACATAAGGTCTATAAGGACTGGGCACTCATCTTCCTCCCATACTAGTTTCTTATATTTAAAATATGTCAACTTTATGGTAAGAAGTGTTCAATGTGCAGCAGCAGTAACTACTAAAAGAGCTGAATTAATGGACATGGGGAGTAAGGTCCCCCTGCTTGTCCACCAGAGCAGAGCACAACTAGTCACTTGGCTTCACCAGCAAACACCACCATTCTGCTCTGATCCTGAGCTGACAGAAGTACCCTCAGAGAGAAAACCAAGATGAAATAACATAGGTCTGAAAGTTATGAGGAAACAGTCCCCGCTGGTATCAGTGGAAACATTCCAGGGATTTGATGCAAGTCTTGCTCTAGTGCCTGTTGCTTACTAAACACCTCAGCATACCAGTTGCCATGGTCCAGTTACTCTGAAGGAGTAGTTTGTGTTTATGCAGTCAAGTAGTTTATCCTCTTCACTGACTCGTGGGTGACCCTGGGTCTCCTTGGCTTTCCTCTCAGGTATTATGAATACCCACAAAAGACCAATGCCATAACCTGGGACACCTTGGGAATTTGTCCACCAGTGAACCACCTTAGGCACTTCTCTGACTCACACAGCTGCAGCCTGTTCCTCTAGACTGTGGCTGACCCTGTGTTAGATGTCCCTCTCCCCTCTCTCCTGTCTTTGCCTAGAACGCAGGAATGCAATAAGATGCTGAATACTCACGCTGCGCATTTTCCATTCCTGTATTCAAAGTTAGTCATACATGTGCATGCTGGAATCCCATTTTGTATTTTGCAGTACTTGTTTACTTCTGCAAAACAGCTTTCACTGCAAACTGTATTTTCAGGGGAAAAAAATATGAGTTAATTGAAGATAGCCCCTCCCCTTAAAATCAGTGTTAAAGGTAGCCCACTTTCCCCTTTTTTTTTTTTATTGCACTGAAAACACACACAACTCTCTCATTCTTCAAAGCACCAGAATGGCTTTTTTAGGACTATACCTATGTAGAACAGAAACTGAAATACAAAAGTACAAAATTAGAAGTAAACTAGCTTTGTTTAAAACCATTCAGCTTCATCAAAAGGGAAATCTATCTAGGCTGCGTCTTACACAGGCAAGCAATGACCTGCAGTTTGATCTGACAGTAGATAATTTGTATTGCAGCTGATCTAAAGCTTGCAGCTGATCTAAAGCTGTGTCAGATTTAGACAGGTTAGGGGCCACAAGGACTACACTGGATCACATCTCACTGGGCTTTATTGCGGCCAGCTTTCATAATTTTATCATGGGTGTTTGAAATATTTGTTGTTTTTCTTAAAATCTCATATCTTAGACTTTTTTTAGTTTCTGTAGTGTAAAAATTTTAGTTTCCATAAGAAGAAAATAAGGTATATCTCAGGGCTTTGGAGGATAGCTAAAAATATAAACAGAGCACCCATTAAAACATTCAAAACTGTAAAGAAAACAAAAACCCAACAACTGACAGTTCCTAAAAATCACAAAAATCATTCTTTCCACAGAAACCTGTCTAAATCCAGGTAACGCAAACCTAGAACTGTGAACAGTGAACAGGTCGTTGTCGTGCATCATGAGGGTTCTAGTTCTGTCAGCCTTCCCATAGCTGCCTTCAAGTAGCTTGCAGAATTTATTCCCAAAATATCTACTAGCAGAGAAGGCTGTGAATACAGGATTCAGTTTGTTCCATCCTTTACCTATTTAGGTTTCAGTTCTTACCAAGAGTCTAACAATGTATTTAAAGAATTGCCCACTCACTGGTTTCAGTGATGATTTTGTCAAGCTTTAGTAGTTTATTCTACTGGAATAGAATTATGGATGTATGAAATGTGAGAACGTGTTTCTATGGCTTTTTTTAATAAGACATGCATTCCCTTATATTTACAGGTCAGCACATTTGCACAGCACTCTTTTTCGAAAATGGACTGAGACAAGGAATAAGCAGGTCAGACTTTCAGGGATAGATAAAGCAGCAAAGTTCTTACCTAAACAAAAACGATCATCCTGATTTATCTTTCCTAAACCATTTTTGCATTTGCATTCTAGAACCGGCTCTTCTACACACTCTGTGGTTCGAGTATCACATTGAAACACATCACATTTCTTCACCACTTTAAAAGAGAAACAGGGAGCAAACCTGAGTACTAATAATATTTCATAGAAAGCAGTGCACTCACCTAGTAAATCATAAACTGATTATTTAGTAATTCTAAAGAAAAAAAGACATCAATACTGCAGGTTTTTGGATCAGCCATTTCTTTTCCCTTGCTCTTTACCAGTTAAGGTCATGTCTCCATCATACCTTCTGACTTCCTATTTCTCAGACTCCTACAACTGTCTCCAAACCTTCCTGGCTTCCAGTCTATGAAAAGGGAAATTCTACCCATAAGTTCATATTCTGAACACTGAATTTCTGACTCACCTTAAAAAAACCTACAGAAAACCCTGTCACTATTCCCTTAGTTTTTTCCACAGCTGAACTGTGAGGCCCAGATCCCATACAGCTCTACATAGATTTAAATATTTATGGGCAAGCAGCTCATTTCACAAGCAGTGTCAGTATCCTGTTTGCCCAGCACATTGCTCTTTAGATCTACGACCCAGTGTTGGGAATGGTTCAAAAATCTCAGTGCCTGGCACACATTAGAGGTACGTGCTGGTGCTTTGCAAGCTCTCAGGTTTTTTTCTGTTTCCCTCTCACATTTAGGAACAGCACACAAGAAATGTCATGGTGGAGGTGGATACATTCACCTCCAGAGACCAAGCTCAGGCTATAAGTCATGAAATGGACACTTTTAGTTATTAGTTATATCTTTTGAGAAAGCTGGTTTCAAAATGGGATCATGTTAAAAAAAAAAAAAAAAAAAGAGAGAGAGAGAAAAATCCATATTTTATTTAGGAAATAATTCTCCAAGTAATTTAGTAATGCAAGAATTTACTGGTTTAGATCAATGAATCACTTAGCTCTGTAACTAATCAGTGAGGCCTCATTTCAGTTACCACAGCTAATTATAGAAGAAGTCTAAAGAGAGTTTCATCCTATTTTTCCAGTAAAATACTGGCTTAGTCTCAGAAGCACAATATATGTCTGTATATATTTTATCCTGATTTTTGCCACCACTTAACACTCAGCAGGTTAAAATCAACATGCCATTGCTTACTTGGGAATAAGTATTTTCCTTCTCTTCTTTACACAGGAAGTAGAAAGCCTTAGTAAGACAAAAAAGCCTAGCACCACATGGTTGAATCTTCAAAATTACACAAGACTGAGCATTAAGCTCCTTAAAATCAGCAAGGCTTATGCTTTGATGGGCTTTTATGCACACAGAAATCCTCCAACCAGGTTGGAAGATAGGAACCTCTGTTTCTGCTGATTATATACTTCCACAGTAAGGAGTTACATACCTTTGTAAGAAGAGACATAGGACGGACTTTCAGTTATTGCTTTCATTACTGCATCAGAAACTGATTGATTGGTCACATCTGAGTTCTCCTTAAACAGGTTTATCACAGTTATGTCTGTTTGAGAATCAGCTCTGATTTCTTTTTGAGGTCTGAAAAGTACAGATAGTACCATTTAAAAGTTTCATATAATGCATATGGATAGCAAAGACAAGAGAAATTTTCTGCCAAATCTCCCTCTCTCCCCTAGCAGAATTCTTTCTTCCCATGGTGTGGGTAATTGCCAAGACACTTGAAAATGAGTTTAAGTCTAGCTTAGGAATACAGTAACAGCCATCTTTGCAGTAGATCCAGATATAAATAGGTAGCTGTTGGATTTAATGCTATCAACATTGCTCTTTGTGTGCTGTTGACACACAGCTGACATTTTTTAACTAAGCTAACCTCAAGTCACCTGCAGTGTGGAAGACCTTATCTGTTAGGCCCTAACTTTCACATACTTGCATCAGCCTGTGGTGTCATCCAGGCATGATGTGGAGAACCCATCCTGAAGCATGGTGAGGATAATTCAGGATATGACCACAGTGAATTCAGAAGGGTCTGTTTGCAGTGTAGAGGTATCTATGCCAACTGCACACTAGCTGAGCTGGGTTCAGCTAGACATCAATCTCTTGGGATAAGGTGGAAAACAGCAGTGACTACCCTGTTCTTCAGTTAAACGTCACACTGCTGGGATATGCACACAAATATCTCTAAGTGGCAGATTGCTGTAGTGCCTGGAGATGTTACTGTGCCCTGCGTGTTTGTCACAACTGCTCTGTTTGAAGTTACTGCCCTCACAACTCTACTGGAACAACACTCTGCTTAACTGCTTAAACCATGGGGTTGACTGAAAGGGATGTGGCTTAGGAACCACTCATAAAGAAGCTGGCAGAACTCTGGGGACAGTAACCTCTAAGAGATGGGGACGAGAAGAGAGGGACATCCACCTAGACCAGCAAAGGACCTATTTCCACAGCTACAGTCACCACAGCTCATTTAATTCAACCTGCCATCAGGAGGGACCAACAAATGCAGAGTGAGATGCATTTTGTATGCCTTCTGTAAAGAAGGGTGTTTTTTAAATTAACTGGGAGTTCTGAGTTGGATCTGCAAGTGTTCATAGGAACCTCAAAGTTAACTGTTACTGCTTATAGCATAGTTATATCATAGTTATAGCATAGTGCTATATCCTACATGGTGCTAAAAGTAGGACATCCACTGTGGAGCTATGTGAGCCAGCCCATTTCACAGACATTTTGGGGGAAAAATGGGGCCAACATCCCAGAAACTTTAAAAATATGAAAAGAATGTCCTTCTTTAAGGGAAAGCATTCTGAACTGAACTTGTCCCATATTCTTTATTGAACTGAGTATTCCATGGGAACAGATTAAAATGGGGTGTGGGGAAGCATGTACTGTGCAAAAACAAATGGCAAACTTACTTAATTTCCACAATGACAGTCTCTACATAGCCTGGTAAACTTGCTAAGGCCTTTTGAAACTATAAAAAAAGAAATGAATTGTGGTTAAAGGCAAGCTGAAACATAGACCAAAGTCACATGAACCACTGAGGCTTCAGCTGTAAAGTTTTAACCCAGAACATGCAACTATAGGCACAAATCAAGCAAGCTGATCAGTTATATACACTCGAAAGGTGTTGCAGAAGAGGAGTAGTGGGGTGGTGCTGTAGAATATGGGAGGACAGGGAATATGGGAGAGCAGTGGAGGGATGGAGAATGAATGTCAGGCAGTGCATTAGGATAGCTGGAGTGGACTGGACTGGCTGGATAGCTACAAACACTCTCTTGCAAACTCATTGCTTAGGAGGATGTCTCCACGGTACCAATCAATGAGAGAGAAGAGGGAGAAGTAGGCATCCTTTGAGATGGCAGGTGTCCCTAAGATACAGTGAAGTGGGATCATAAGGGGTTGATCTTGTGGGGGAAGCACAGCACTGGTGAAGGCACTGGGAGAGGAATGGAGTCAGCAGAAAAGTCACTGCTCTCCCTCATCCCATGTGTAGCAGGGAACAGCTAGCGGTGGCAGCTGCCTTCAACTGCCACACAAGCAAGAGGCACCACAAGAAAAGGATGTCTAATTCAACTGAAATGAAAGATAAACTATCTTTGCAATAAAATTAAAATAATTTTTTATGCTGTTTTCACTTTTGCATTCTATTACTACATTATGCCTATTCTAGTCCTACATATCGTGCTCTTTTGTTGCCATGCCATGAACAAATGCTGGACAAAAAAATTGAGGAAAATATTTTTAAACCTTCTGGAGGAACAATTTTTGGTCACTTTCTGATAAAACATTCACAATAAGAGTCAGAAATTGATAACCAGTTTTGATGATTTCTGATTAATATCTGATGAATATTTTTTGATCAGATGTCTAGTAGAGGTGCATATCTCTTCTTCCTTACTACCAGAAAGAGACATAAGCAAATCCACTTGTTTCAACACAACAGCATAAATTAAACTGTTCATCTTATTTTCCCAGGAAATCTATTACCAAATTTTATGCACAGTCATAGAATACTCAAAATGTGTAGTATCCATTTAATTAACAGCATTAAAATATTAAAATACTAAAAGTGGTAGGCTTATGGAAGAGGCTTGTTATTCAGGTATTTAGAAATAGCTGAACAGCCATTCTGAAAAGTTTGTGCTCTGTGGAAATGATAATTTTCTTAAAAAAAAAAAAAACGTTCATTTTTACTCACACCCACTGAGTATTATTGAGCCTCCAGCAAAAGTGGAGTTCAGAAATTCAGTAGGCTGGAGAACTTCACTCAGCCCCGTTGTTTCTGGAGAGGGACCGGTGAAAGATGCAGAGCAATTTATGTGAGAACTCCCCAGAATGAAAGTGGTACCACAAAAGCAGACATTAATTAAATCAGGTACTTCACTTCAGTAAGAGTCATCTGAGGGTAAAATTCAGGTCTTTTACAAATAGGTGTAAACTAGTATGGAGAGTTCTTCAAAAGAAGTAGTTTTCTCAAATGAAACTCTTCTAGGCTCCACATTAAAGGCAGTGTGTGTCCTCTCTGTCTGCATAACACCCAGTACAACATGAAATACACAGAAAAAACCCAACACTGTCACTCACAAATTCTGATACATGGTTGAACACCTCTTCGTACTCTGTGGAATTTACAATCTGAACACTCTCATTGTAATATTCATTCACACTAATGAGCCCTGGGTATACATCCCCTGAAATGAGAAGAGAGAATATAAGTTAGAAAGCATTCAAGAAAGTGAGGTTTCACCTTAGAGTTCTCCAGCTTTCAGTGATGGGGAAACACAATGCGGAAAACAATCAGTGCTATTTTTCATATACTGGAGGGATCAGTAGGGGACAAATGTTTGCTCAATCAATTGAGTCACAATGGGGGATTTACTCTGGCTACCTGGGAAGTAGGCAGGATCCTGGGCTCAATCAAATTGTCCTGATTAGGAAACTGAATAACACTAAACTGTCAGCATGGCCTGAAACTAAAAGACTCTCTGTGAGGTGTTACAACATTTAATGAGAAAAAATGTATATTAAGGACTCCAAAACTGCAGCTACTAAGCAGCTAACATGGTTCACCATATCAGAGAAAATGATTGAGTGTCAACCTGCTTCTTAGGTCTCACAAGTAAATTTGAGAGTCTTCCTTGCACTTTAAATAAGAAGCCCTATTTGCTCACACACTTGGCCTTCAACAGCATCTCAGAGACGCATTTCAACAGGTCTGTGATGAGTGTTTAGCAATGGCAAAATTAATCCAGTTTTTCAGAGGTCTTCATGAGTTTGACCTCTTTTAAATCTTCACAACTGATATCAATGTCAGGTTTACACTTGCATTGTTTCCTGCTTTTCACTCATTTCAATCTCCAGCATCCCTGACAGAGAACTCTTTTTCTAGAACATTAACCTCTTTGGCTATCACTGTTTTGTGAGATAACAATCTAGGTCATTGTAGCAGTGGCTGTCTGCAAAGCAAGGAATTGCTCAGCATTTACTTTCCCAGACTGATTATGCTTTCAGTTATAACGTGAAAACTAGGGATATGGGAAGAAAAATTCACCTGAGCAGGTAACTAACTAAAAACATAGAGGCCCTACTGCAACTCACCTTTGTAACAATTCTTATCCTCCTTGCTATAGTAGAATCCAAATTCGCACTGGCAGGTATAACTGCTCTTTAAAGGAACACATTTAGCAAAGTTTCTTCCACAAGGTTCTGTACTGCAGAAGTTCTCTGATACAAAAATGAAAGATATTGACATTAGTATTTCTATGAAATTGCAATAGCCAGTGAATATAAATTGAATAGCCATGAATATAAAGTAACTCATATATTGAATAGTTCCTGTGTACTTCTACTAAAGGAATCTACCAGGCATGTTTTAGAGAGCATAGATGCAATTACAGATCAAATTATATCTTGCTTGCTTAATGTCCATATAGTAACTGTTTTCCATATACAATCCAGCAGGATATCACTGGAGGGCTGGGAGTATGGCTGAATTTCATTATCTGTCATATTGAGCATTCACAACTCAACTCTACTTAATACAAATAAAACCAAATCAAACAAGGAAAGTATATCAAGGCTTTCCAAAAGCAGCAGAAAAAGGCAGACTACAATAGCCTGTGAGTCTTTAATACTACACTGGTACATACTTGCATTATTATGACCCAGTGTTGTGGCAGGGTCCATTACTGCAGAAACATTATTAAAATGAGGACGCCAAAATTAATTATCATGGTATATATTCTCTGAATAATTATACATTTTGTAAAGATTTTAGAGTATATGTTTAATATCTATCACTAATTTAAATGCTTTAAAGTAATTAAAAGTCATATTTCAATGTAAATTATGCAAAGGGTAGTATTACAGTTCCCTTCTAAGACACCAATTTCACCTTGCCTGGTATCATTCACTTAACTCCATAGGTATGTTCTCATAGATAAGACATTCCCAGCTTTGATCTGGGCACTTTTGTCTCCTGTGGGAGAGGATCTCAGGGAAACCTGGGCACAATCACTCATCCCTCTCTGGGGACACTGCAGAGCTCCCTGGGATTCTGTTACTCCAATCTGTGCCCAGAAGAGGCCACCTGAAGACACTGATCCTTACCTGGAGGTGTCTGAGGTGGTATTCACTGATGGGGTAGACGTTGCTACAGTTTGGTTGTTGCTTCCTGAGGAAGAGAACAGAAGAAACGTGGCAGCACTGCTTAGTATTGCCTTTTGGAAAAGCCTTGGGGAGCTCTGTGCATGCAGGAGAACATCTGAGCACATAGGTGTGGGGAACCATGAGGGGCTGTGTCTGTGACCCCTTGTCCCGCAAATGCCAGGACATGAGCACGTGCCCCACACAGGCACTGCATTCCCCCTGGAAGGAATGATCCCTCCACCTGCCCAAGGAAGAACAGCATGGCTGGGAGCATCTGTCAGAAGAGCTCAAGCAGGACCATCATGGTCATACAGCCTGTACGACCTCCACTCCCCACAGGGGCCTTCTCTCCAAGACCACTCCAGTGAAAGTTGGAGACACAGAGTCATTGACTATGCTGGGCAATCGTGATGGGAAAATGGGAATCTAGCAGGAAGGATGCCATCCTTCAAGGCCCCATGCAGGAAGACCTGAGGGACTGGGCAGGCTGTCCCTGCTCTGCATGACCCCAGCACGAGCTCTGATAACCTGAATGGGGCTCCTCAGTGCCACACTGGGACAGACAGATTGGCCAGGATGGAGGGACTGCTCCCTGGTGCCCAAAGACGGTCCCTGGCCTCAGCCCTGTGCTGCTGTGTGGCACAGCTCCCACTCTGCCCGTGTCCAAACAACTTCAGACACAACTCCCTTCAGGACACCGGCAAGGACTGCCCTGGGTATGTCTTTGCTGGGATCCTCTTGCACCCAGGCCTGCGGCAGGAGGCAAGAGCAGAAGCAGGAAAACAGCAGCCTGCATATTCACAGCCTTGATCTGGGCACCTTTGTCGCCCCTGGGAGAGCATGTCAGGGAAGCCTGGGCACAGGCAGTCATCCCTCTCTGGGACAGGATCTCAGGGAAAGCTGGGCACAGGCACTTGGCCCTCTCTGGAGTACTGTAGAGCTCCCTGGGATTCTATTACTCCCATCTGTCCCCAGATTCTGTTACCCCCACCTGTCTTCAGGGCCACCTGAAGACATTGATCCTTACCTGGAGGTTCCGAGGTGGTATTCACTGATGGGGCAGACGTTGCTACAGTTTGGTTATTGCCTCCTGAGGAAGAGAACAGAAGAAACGTGGCAGCACTGCTTAGCACTGCCTTTTGGAAAAGCCTTGGGGAGCTCTGTGCATGCAGGACAACCACTGAGCATATAAGTGGTGGAGGACCAGTGAGGGGCTCAGCAGCCAAAGCCCTGAGCAGCCTTGCCCTGCCTTTGGGCACTCCCTGCATGTGATTCCTGTGTCATCTGATGTGTCTTTGACCCCTTGTCCCACAAATGCCAGGACATGAACAAGTGCCCCACAGAGGCACTGCCTTGCCCCCAGATTGGCTGTGCTCCCTGGGCACAGCTGTCTCAGCCACAGCCACACACGTGTTCCCCCTGGCAGGAAAGCTCCCCCCATCTGCCCAAGGAAGCACAGCATGGCCAGGAGCATCTTTCAGAAGAGCTCGAGCTGGGCCATCAGGCTCGTACAGCCTTGCCCGTGCCCCAACCAACCGCAGGCACAACTCCCTTTAGGATGCCACCAGGGACTGCCCTGGGCATGTCTTTGCAGGGATCCTCTTGCTATCAAGCCTGGTACAGGAGGCAAGAGCAGCAAGCAGGAAAAGAGTCGCCTCCTCAAATCTTGCTCCCTGAGGCAGAGAACCAAGGAAAGGAGGAGGAGTCGAGGGTATTCCCAGCCTTGATCTGGGCACTTTTGTCTCCTGTGGGAGAGGATCTCAGGGAAACCTGGGCACAATCACTCATCCCTCTCTGGGGACACTGCAGAGCTCCCTGGCATTCTGTTACTCCCATCTGTGCCCAGAAGGGGCCACCTCAAGAGACTGCTCCTTACCTGGAGGTGTTGAGGTGGTATTCACTGATGGGGCAGACGTTGCTGCAGTTTGGTTGTTGCTTCCTGATGAAGAGAACAGAAGAAACGTGGCAGCACTGCTTAGCATTGTCTGTTGGAAAAGCCTTGGGGAGCTCTGTGCATGCAGGACAACCACTGAGCATCTAAGTGGTGGGAAACCATGAGGGGCTCAGCAGGCAAAGCCCTGTGCAGTCCTTCTCTGCCTTGGGCATCCCTGCATGTGATGCCTGTGTCATCTGATGTGTCTGTGACCCCTTGTCCCACAAATGCCAGGACATGAACAATTGCCCCACACAGACACTGCATTCCCCCCAGGTTAGCTGTGCTCCCTGGCCACAGCTGTCTCAGCCACAGCCACACACGTGTTCCTCTTTGCTGGATAGATCTGTACATCCACCCAAGGAAGCACCACAGGGCCAGGAACATCTGTCAGAAGAGCTCGAGCTGGGCCATCAGGCTTGTACAGCCTGCACACCATCCACTCCCTGTAGGGGCCTTCTCCCCAGGATCATTCCACTGAAAGTTGGAGGCACAGGGTCATTGACTATGCTGGATAATTGTGATTGGAAAATTAGAATCTGGCAGGAAGGATGCAATCCTCCATAGCCCTCACGCAGGAAAAGCTGAGGGACTGGGGAGGCTGCCCCTCCTCTGCATGACCCCAGCTGTTGTTTCAACCTTGCTGGGTTGAAATGGGGAGTTGGCAGGAAGGTTGCAATCCTCCAAGGCCCCCATGCAGGAAGAGCTCCACTGCGTGACCCCAGCAGGATGTTCAACCCACCAGGATGGGGCTCCTCAGCACCACACTGGGACAGGCAGCTTGGCCAGGATGGAGGATGTCAGGGAGGGACTGCTCCCTGGTGCCCAAACACGGTCCTTGGCCTCAGCCTCGTGCTGCTGTGTGGCACAGCTCACTCCCTGCCATGCTCCAACCCACCTCAGGCACAATTCCCTTTAGGGCACCAGCAGGGACTTCCCTGGACATGTCTTGTCAGGGATACTCTTGCACCAAGGCCTGGTACAGGAGGTGAGAGCAGCAAGCAAGGAAAAGAGTGCTCGCCTCTGATCTTCCCCAACATTTGAATCTTGCAGCAAGGAGCAGCAGGAAAATGAGGAGGAGTCGAAGGTATTCACAGCTTTGATCAGGGAACCTTTGTCTCCCTGTGGGAGAGCATCTCAGGAAACCTGGGCACAGGCACTCATCCCTCTCTGGGGGCACTGCAGAGCTCCCTGGGATTAAGTTACTCCCATCTGTGCCCAGAAGGGGCCACCTGAAGAGATTGTTCCTTACCTGGACTTTCTGAGGTGGTATTCACTGATGGGGGAGGCGTTGCTACAGTTTGGTTGTTGCCTCCTGATGAAGAGAACAGAAGAAACGTGGCAGCACTGCTTAGTATTGCCTTTTGGAAAAGCCTTGGGAGCTCTGTGCATGCAGGACAACCACTGAGCATATAAGTGGTGGAGGACCAGTGAGGGGCTCAGCAGCCAAAGCCCTGAGCAGTCCTTGCTCTGCCTTTGGGCACTGCCTGCATGTGATTCCTGTTTCATCTGATGTGTCTGTGACCCCTTGTCCCACAAATGCCAGGACATGAACAAGTGCCCCACACAGACACTGCCTTGCCCCCAGATTAGCTGTGCTCCCTGGGCACAGCTGTCTCAGCCACAGCCACACACGTGTTCCCCCTGGCTGGAATAGCTCCGTCCATCTGCCCAAGGAAGCACAGCATGGCCAGGAGCATCTTTCAGAAGAGCTCGAGCTGGGCCATCAGGCTTGTACAGCCTGCACACCATCCACTCCCTGTAGGGGCCTTCTCCCCAGGATCATTCCACTGAAAGTTGGAGGTACAGGGTCATTGACTATGCTGGATAATTGTGATTGGAAAATTAGAATCTGGCAGGAAGGATGCAATCCTCCATAGCCCTCACGCAGGAAAAGCTGAGGGACTGGGGAGGCTGCCCCTCCTCTGCATGACTCCAGCTGTTGTTTCAACCTTGCTGGGTTGAAATGGGAGTTGGCAGGAAGGTTGCAATCCTCCAAGGCCCCCATGCAGGAAGAGCTCCACTGCGTGACCCCAGCAGGATGTTCAACCCACCAGGATGGGGCTCCTCAGCACCACACTGGGACAGGCAGCTTGGCCAGGATGGAGGATCAAAAGGGAGGGACTGCTCCCTGGTGCCCAAA